TTTAAGTATTATACATGATATATATTTTTTGGTTAATGAAAGTGTTCCAAAACGTGACATTAATTTCTTGACAACCTAATACATTTTAAATTATCTTCTTCATTTATAACTTTTTATTTTATCACCAAAATTTAAATGATTAATAAAAATTAGTGTCTCAATAACATATGTTGTAGAAATATCAATAAATATGTTTCTCATACAAGCTCATGAAAAAATACAAAAAATGTTGACTTACAGGCATGCGAAAAAATGTCTGAAACTTTCGCAGGGCAACATCAACTTGCATCCCAGCCAAATCCATCTCCTCAACAAAACACCTGAATAAAAGATAAACAACAACTGAAGTTTTTAGTAGCTTGTTTGTCTATTGCACAATGCTAATAGAGTTAGCTTTATATAAATTAATGGAAGAGTATGGCCTTTAATGTCTACACAAATAGATAACAACAATACCTCATTTGAAAATTTCATTAGGAAGCACATACACTTAATAACCAATTTAGTTTAAAAGACATGCTTACTTAAGTTGCAAATCAAAGCAATTTTATAAAAGACAAAAACATCCCCCCCCAAAAAAAAATTAGCCAAGTTGCACATTACCCTAATACGGCCATATTGAATGGACACTGTAGATTTCCAAGGTATTCTCCAATATTGTGTTTACTGAGGCCTTTACGAGAAATTAGAAACCGAGCTACAGCTTTAGGACTTCCCTCCAAGAAACTGCGTTGAATAAGGTAGCGAATTCCCCTTTCAGGCTTCTTGTTGAACAGGTTCAAACCAATTCTATATTGCCTTTTCTTTTGGATCTCAGAAATCTGTGACTTCAAAGGTAAGAAAAGTATGTTAATAAAACAAGGAAAAGAAAATGTTTGTTTCTAAATAAATAACATAAAACTTAAGGATAGTAAGGTATCTTTTGGCCCACCTAAGCCACCCCCTTTCACTAAACTAAACTTAAAAAATCAACAACTCAAAACCAGCCCTTATCATTCAAATATCTGTCAAACCTTCTCTTAAACACCCTTAAATTTATTTCATCCACAACATCTGAAGAGAACCTATTCCAAAGGCCAACTACCCAGTTAGAAAATAAAACTGTCTTAGTTGAAGATGACTCGTACCACACTAAAAATTTATATTTGTGTTCCCTAGTCCTATAACTCTCAACATTAAGTATGAAAAAATATTATATATTGATACTATCAATCTCCTTAACAATCTTAAACACCTCACTCAGGTCCCCTATAAATCTTCTTTTTTCTCTAGAAAACAATTTCAGAAATCTTAACCTGCCCCCCTTTGACAACCTTTTCATCCCATGTATCATCATAGTAGTCCACCTTTGAACTCCTTCCAACAGTTCAATGTTCTTACTAAAGTAAGAAGCCAAAGATTGAACACAATACTCTAAATGTGGCCTAACCAGTGACCTATACAATCAAATTATAGCCTCTTTAAACTTGTATTCAACATTTCTGTAGATACAACCTAAAATCCTACTTGTTCTACTACTAGCAACAGCGCAATGCTTCGATGGCTTAAGAGACTGATCAACTAGAACACAAACGTTCTTTTCTTCCATAACACTGTTGAGGTTATTCCCACCAAAATAATAGTTATAATTCATGTTATGATAAGTTACATACATTACCCTGTATTATTAATTATAATAAAAAGCAACTGTTGGAACTATTAGATTTTTATGATAAGTAACAAAAACTTTCAACACAACAACAACTATCTATACACTGAAACATCAAACTTAAGTAAGATCTTCTTAATATAAAGGTTCAAATCTCTTGCAATCACTTTAAAATATACTACTATCACCGATATTTTCACCAAAAAAGCTAAGTTTCTTTTCTAAATAATTATAATGATGAAATAGTGAGATTTTCCTCGACTCTACCAAAACATAATTTTTCACATTTATTCCCAATGAACCAAAACCAAATCTTCATAAAAAAAGAGAGTAAGTCTTATTATAATTTGAAAAAATTATGATAAAACACAAACAGGTATATAATATAAGAATAGTATTTACAAATCTTTTGCAAATTTTAGTAGAAATTCCAAAACCACTATTAGGGAAAAAACTATAACATAAGCCTACTTTATAAGGAAGAGGACTTGAAGGAATGTCATGTGATGTCCTGGTATCAGAGTCAGAGTAAGTAATTCCTGTGAAGGATTGCATATCTGACACTGATATTGGAGGTGATGTAGAATAGCCAGTACTTTCTAAGCTATCTTCACTATTTTCTGATATGTTGCTTAATCGTTTATCTTCTAATCGAGTACCGGCTGGTACTTGCTCAGCCACAATTAGAGACTTTCTCTTCCAGATGGGGGAAGCATCAACATTGCATTTTTTGCTCTGAACTTTATCCATTTCGTCATCATCAGGATGTGTACTGTATTGCTGAGTTATGTCATATCCCATGCTGCCTTCACTGCTTGAAGTAAAAGACTCGACTGAATAGGTGGGGGAATTAACTCCATCGGATGTGCTTTTATGCTCCTGGTTTGAAATGGAAGAAGTTCGTCTAGGTACCCGAGGGGGAATCTTTTTCTGATTGATATTGTATTTTCTTCCAAGGGCTGCATCACTTGACCTTATAGAAGTCCTCTGAAACAACCCTTCTTGAGGTTTTTTGGTCATCCCTAATGGATTATTCACTGATCGTCTTCCAGCAGAATCTCGAACTAATCCTTCATCCATTCCACTCTAAAGCATACACAACAAAAAAATTAGTTCATGACTAACAGTTATAAATTTAGAAACAAAACCAATTATTTGATATTCTTCAGAAATACATTTTGGAACTCGTATTAATCCCTCCCCAAGCATTATGTCTTATGTCCAGCCAAACTGTTCAAATGAAAAAAAAAAGTGTAAAATAAGATAATTTAAAGGGCATTTAACATGTATTTTGCTGGATTTTTGTATTTAAAATATGAACAAGTTCACCTCCATGTTGAAATCTGTACTCACAACTTGTTAAACATACAAAATGCATATGGGATCAGGCAAATATACTGTGCCTTTGACAAGAGGGATATCATAACATAACAAATAACTGAAATTATACCAAACCCCATCATTTATTCTTAGGCTAAAACTAAAATTGAGAAAAATGTTTTGGAAATTTCCTATTACCCATTTATTGGGTAATTACAAGAATGAAATCACAAGCTTCAAATACAAGCCAATACCTCCAAGAAAAAAATCATCTTTCAAATGAAAAATAACTTTACCTCTAAATATTTATCTCTCACAGTTATGCTAAAGACAAAAAATAGGCTTCAAAAAGTTTGTATTTTATGGTCTTTCATATAACTCAGCTTTCCAATGATCAAGATCTTTGGTACAAATATGACATTAATCTCACATACAGGTCATAATCATCAAAATAGACAAAGGAAAGAAGATAATATCAATATAAACATGTTGAACACAAGCCACAATGATTGTAACTACATACTTTTACACATACAAATGGTTGAAAATGTTTTACTTAAAACCTTTCTGAAAATATGAATTACATCAGAATTATGCAACTTCTTTTATTCAACAAGTTTTTATTCACTAGTTTATAAAAGGAGCTGACTGTGAATTTTCAAGTTTAAATAAAGATTATCGTATATTTACATCATCAAACCTAACAGAGACAAACATAAACAACTTACAAAGTTAATGGTACTGCCTTCTGTAGGAAGTGGTTCTCTTGGTATATGATAATGTTCTGCACCTGGTGTTGGTATCTGATTAGGGACTAAACACATCATTGGTTCAGGATGAGCACTATGGGAGGAATTGATATGTTTTACATCAGTACTGGAGGACATTGTATGTTTAGGAATGGAAGAAGGTGGCACGTGGTATAGACTGTCATTTAATGCACTGGATTCTCCAGGAAGACCAGATTGTAGAGAGTTTTGAGGATGTAATCTCTCACCAGATGACACTACTTGCATATCTAAATTATTATGAACAGTAAATACCTGAGCACTTGGATAAGAAGTGGATTCTTTAGTGTACACACAGTTGGGTGATGATCTGATACAGTTGTCTGAATCGGTCAGGTATGATGTCTTTTTCTCTCTCATGCTCAATGATCTTGTTGGTCTTAGCGGTCTTCCATTTTCAGTTTCTAAGGTTTCACTTAGTTCACGGTACAAAGCTGCAAAATTTGATTTGACTACTGCATCCACACTTTGTGGTGTAGAATTAATGCCTTGAAAGCCTTCTTTCAGCATTTCCTGGCCTGGATTATAGATTCCAGTGGTATACTGCCTATGACCACTGGATTTTAATGACCCAGCATATACCATCCAGTCTTTTCCTTCTAAGTCAAACGTGTAAAGGCGTCGTGATAAACGCTTCTCACTCTTAGGGTGGGCCAGCTCTTGAAATCTCTTCACCATGCAGTATTTTCGGAAAGCTCTTTGAATGGTTAAAGCTGCATGACGAGCACAGACTCCACCATATTTTCTCTCTAGCATCTCCACCTGCTTGTCCAATAGATCTTGAGACAACTCATACCTGTACCATAAGAAAGATGCAGTTAATACCTTATACACCCCCAACAGCACAAGTGTACATGAAAATATAGCTTAAGTAGGTAAAATATGCATCACTTCACTTGGCCAACATGCTAAAAGTTGAATATATTTTTTACTAGTAAAACAATAGATGAACATGAATATACTAGTAGAAGAGAGACACACTAATTCCTTATTCTGGTAAGAAAATGAAATATTTAATCTAGACCTGATGCAAAGTGATAATGGCTCACAAGTACCAGAACTGAATAAAAATTAGCATTGTTGTTTTCTTTGTGCTAAGTTAAACAACGGGCTATTTGTGCATAGCTGTCCATAATTTTCAGCTGATAGACTAGAAGGAAAACAGCTAGTTAATTGCACTTATCACCAACTTGTGGGCTACTTTGTCTACCCAAATATTGAGATTTGATCATCACTTATAACACACCATGATCTCAATGTGTGGAGTTTGTTTATGCCTGAACAGGTTTGCAAACCATAAGACCTCAGATTCATAATCCAGTTATGCTATCTCTTAGGCCAGTTTTTTTTATATTTCAAAGTTACTCTAACCTGCTGAACCAATAAGAATTGAGGATAAAAGACAAAAATATCAAGTATTCAACACACCTAATGGTAACTTAAATATAAAAAATGAAACAAGTTGAAATATTAATTTACCATAAATGAATGAAAATAGGTTACAATACCTTTCTTTTTGGTATATTTTGTTTGTCTAACTTATTACAGAGGCTCAGTAATTTTCGATTCTAATTTGATATTTGCACCCTGACTATCTAAAGTCACTTGGCGATGGGTTATACTATATGTATATTGGTACTTTTTAAAGGTCAAATATGAATATGCTGTTGTCTCCAAACTTTCCAGATGATAGTTGGCAAACCATTTAAAAACATCTGACAAAAAAAAAGAACGTGAAAATGAAAATATACCAAATCAAAGATAAAGTGTACACGTTAGATGCCATAAAAATTAACTTAATTGTTAAGCCATAGTGCTACATTCTCTGTCATTAAATAATATGTGAATGAAATGACAACTTAGAAACTGAACATTCATAACGCATGACTGTTTAACTTCCAGCTACATAGCACACTGATGCACAGTGTATACAAAAGTGTAACATAAACTTACTGGTTACTATGGGAACGACTTCTCTTCAGAGCTTCGTCATCAACTCGTCTAACAGGAGTTTTCTTCAACCCCACATTACCACTGCTCGCCCTTTGTCGTGAGTTCCGCGTGGGGTGGGAGCTATTGTGAGTATCAACAGAATACGATCTCAGCTGTTTCAGAGGAGGGCCTGGTTCATATGGAGTTGTATCGAAAAGTTTCTGGTCCACAGTACTGAAAGAAAGAAATATTAAAATATGAACTTATTGTTTTTGTCTTTTTTTATATTTATTAATTTACTGATTACCTACATAATTAACACTAAATATATAACGAATGAATTTATTGGTTTTACATTCATTATTACGACCAATCACAACACAAATATCTTAAGAATTTCAACAAATTATAATGCACGTACTTCTATTAAATCTGTTTTAATTTCACTGGTTTTTCCAAGTTACGCACGTAGGCTTGAAATAACTCGTAATCGCGTTTTCTTGTTTGTTTATTTGTCTGGTTTGAGCAAAGCCACATGGGCTATCTGCTGTGTCCATCTCGGGGAATCGAACCCTGGATTTTAGCGTTTGAAGTCTGTAAACTTACCGTTGACCCACCGGGGGAACAAAAGTTCTTCATCATAAATCTTTCTTTCTTCTTCTGAATACAGGTCGCTAAAAATCAATCACACGAAACACTACTGCGACTTTTAAGTCAGTAGTCATTGTTCAAAATTGCAAAATTGGGTCGACCAACACACACATTTAAATTCTTAGAGTGCCGTTAAATATTTCTGTGAGTTAGTATAACATAAATGTATGCCATGGATCCCTGTGGTATTCCGATAATACACCCATATCTTTCTATTTTCGTGTAGCAAGGTGAATATTTACTTCTTCACGCATTGTTTACACTTAGACGCGTTCGTAAAGCTGAGCACGCAGGCAAAGCTCAACATTCACTTTCGAAATGACGGGTGAACAGTCATGAATAATGTTGATGCCAAATATTATTTCGCAAGCAGGATATTCTACAATAAATTGTTATGAATTAATCACACTATCATTCACAATTCAAAATGTGACGTAACTTAAAGAATAAAAATGTAGATTTACCGTATGTTATTGTTGAGCAGCTCTTAGCATGACTGAAATGCTCAACAATTACTTTTCGCAGTAGGTGGAATAAGCTCTGAGTGAAACCAAGAATGCAACACAATTAACCTTTTTAAAGTTCATGAAATAATTTAAATTGATAGATTTACTTAAACTTTTCCGTCACTGGGGACGGGTACTTTTGCTCGTATTCGATAATTCCAATTTTCTAGTTCACATTGTAACATAAGACCGACGATACATATTCGTTTTTTGTTACTTTCCTGTGATGTAGAAAGTTCCATAATTCAGATTGGTTTTCTAAAACAACAACAACATTTAATATATTTTAGTGAAAAGAGCATCAGTAACTGTAACCCGTTTCCAAATACAATGAAAGTCAACTGCTTAGCATAAAATTGCATATAAAAAAACTGTACAGAAAATCTAAAGGCTAAAAACAAATTTTTAGTAGTTAAGCACAAAGCTGCACAATGGGCTATCTGTGCACTTCACACCACGGGGATCGAAACCCGGTTTCTAGAGTTTGATGTCCAGAGACATACCGCTGTGCCACTGTGGAGCTCGTAAACTATTTATAAAATATAAGTTCTATTGTTATTCAAAGCGACAATTTCTTACCTCAAGGTAAATAAGAACTAGCGCCCTCTTTAGGGGTCAAAGGCGGTGTTTACAATAATAACAAATGCAAACTCCTGCAAGAGTAGTGGTGTAATGTAACTAAAATCTTACTTTAAGTAGAGATAATATTTAATCAAACAACTTAGGGAGTAAAACCGCAGTGCTGTTGTACAATGTGCAAGACTATTAAAATTAAAACACTATTACTGTTGAAAAGTGGGTAAGGCCGTTGACAGTAAAATAATAGTACGTTTTAAACTATTGACCAGAGGCAAGGCAGCCAGTAAGCAGCATCCTATCACTCACTACCCACGTTATAGTGCACTTGCAGCTTAAAGTGGGAGAGGATATTTTGTGGTATCAAACGAACTCGAACCCGGGTCGCCAGCTACGAACCCTCACAGGGCCAACCTGTTCCCTCTAATTTTTAAGAGACTACTGTATCCACTTCTATATGGTTTGTCTTTTTAATTTAACTGTTTCTTTATTGGAATTTTTTCCTCGTATACACCAAAAGTTTCAAATCTCGAAGAGACCTAGCCATCATTAAAGGTCAAATATAAACATGTATCCATTAATATGTTGGTTGCATTATTTCACATATTTCTTTACAGCGTACTCATATACAAACACTATAAAAGTCTAAAACCCCTGCAAGTCCTCTGTAAAGTTATTTACTTTCAAACAGCAGTCACTAATTTTGAACTGACGGACTAGAGAAAAGGTAGCTAGCTAGTCAACAGTACCTGCCATCAATTTTTGTAAGATCAAATAGTGGAGTTTGCCCGTAACTCTTATATAGACCATTCACAGCCCTAGGGTGCAGAGCACGTTTTTACGGTAAAGGGTCGTATATTATGAATCTTTATGCCAACCAACCAACCAATCATGGCCACATCGGTCCAATTTCACTATAATATAACGTAATTTGTGTCTGAATTTTGTAGTTCTCTTTCTTCGTTTATGGCGAGTAGGAAGAACACTTATACAAGACTAAATATAATTTGTACTTATTAAAATACACAAACACAAAATCCTTCCAAAATATAACTTTCCTTCGTTACATGAAATGAACCAATAACCTTGGTTTAAATTTAGCAGTGAAAGTCTAGAGGAAAGGTAGCTAGTCATCACCACCCACCGCCAACTCTTGGGCTACTCTTATCAACGAATAATGGGATTGACCGGCACATTATAACGCTCCCACGGCTGAAAGGGTGGGCACGTTTGGTAGGACGGGGATTCGAACCCATGACCCGCAGATTGAGAGTCGAGCGCCCCCTA